AGATTATACAGGTGATCTAAATAAGAGAAGATCTCTGCCAAGTTATGTTTTTACTCTATTTGGATGTATTGTACGTTGGAGGGCAATCTTATAGTCTACAGTTGCTTTGTCTACCACAGAAGTAGAATACATGGCAATATCAGAGGCAGTTAAAGAAACAATTTGGTTGAGAGGTTTGGTCTGTGATTTGGGCTTAGAAGAGGAGGTGACTACTGTGTTTTGTGATAGTCAAAGAGAAATACATTTGACCAAAAAACAAATGTATCATGAAAGGACTAAGCACATTGACGTTAGATATCACTTCCTTCATGAGGTTTTGGTTCAATGTATTATCACAATGAAAAAAGGTTGCTACAACAAGTAATCCGGCATATATGTTTACTATATCGGTATCAGTACTCAAGTTCAAGTATTGCTTGGACTTAATTAGTGCTTGCACTGTATGAGTTGTACTCTTTGGGTACTTGGCGAACGTAGTGGTCAAGTTCACTTTTGTTTCAAGGGCTTGATGGAATACAAGTTAAGGTGAAAATTTGTTGTGATGATTTGTATTTCAAGTCTTAGATGGAGTATTGGCATGAGTTTGTATTGGACACAAACTTTGGAAAGTCTTCTTCACATGGAAGACTCGTACTTTTAAAATACAACTTGGACTCTTGTGGTGCAAAGCTTTAAAGTAAATATTTCCTTTTTCTAGAAGCTACATGAAGTAAGGAAAAGCTTTGGTCTTCAGCGAGTTCAGCCTTTTGACAAGAAACGACGACGTCCGCGAATTCTTTCTTTTGCTAAAACTATTTGGTTTGCTCTATTTTTGTTGGTCCAATAACTTCTATAATATTAGAATAGAGTGAGTATGCGTTCTCTTGTTGCTTTGTTTATCAAGAACGGTCTTTGTAATCACCAAGCTTTTGATAGTGAATTTTTGCTGATGTGTTTCGTTTGTGGATGTAAACTTTCTTGTTGAGTTGAACCACGTAAATTCTAATTGTATTATGTTTTTCTATTTTGTTATGTTATTATTTTTCTTGTACTTTTGGTTCATAACACAGAATTTGTTATGTCATAATTAAAAAGATATTGAATAGATGTTCGATAACTACCGTAATCTAGTATGAAATATGTATCTTCAAAATTTTTAAAATTGTAACAGCACGCACAATAATGAGATAGTCCTTTTTAGATCTGGAACCAAAATTTTGAAACCATAGAGTTTCACTCTATTTTTTTCTCTATCATTTAGTCAACTTAAACACTCGTTCTAATCAATTTTGGATAGTAGTATACATATTTTACTATCCAATTCAATTATATTTTGTTGTTGACATTTATATTGAAATTAAAATGGTGAAAGCTTCTCACTGATACGAATATTTTTTCTCCAACTTTCTCATGAAATTTTCTCTACATATTTCTATGTTTCTTTTTTTCTATTTTGTAATTCTCTTTGGTTTGATCTGTTATTAGATTTTTCTTTGTAGGATTCACGTGATATGGAGCAAATTCTCCTTTGAGTCTTCATTGATGTTACCATTGTAGACGGAAAATAGAAGTAAAAAATGTAGAGTCTGATGTCACCACCACAGACGAAAGAGATTGAGAGGCAGCGATGTGTCGCCCCGCTACAGATGAAGGAGACGGAGTTGAAGTAGAAATGGAAAAAGGCAGCTTTGCCACCATAGATGAAAGAGACGGAGAAAAACAGATGGAGAGATAGTGACTTGTCACCACCGCAGACAAAGGAAAAGCATAGAACAATGATGTAAAACATCTCGTAGAAGCATGACTCCATAAATTCAAGTGAGCCACCATAAATTCAAGTGAGCCAGAGATACTTCATGAAAGAGGGCAAAATAAGATTTCAGATCTGAGATGTCCTTTTTTCCTTTAAAATAAGGACAAATTTATTTTTGGATAATTTAGAAGTCTGTACAATTTTTTAGATTTAGATTTAAATGAGCAAAAATACAATATAAAATCTTATTTTAGCTAAAGTGCATATTTTTAACAAAATGACAATATTGTCGTTCGGTAAACAGCTGAAGGATTGAAACTCTTTGTATTCTTTCTGTATGTTTTGGTTACATTCAAGTAATGGGAGGTAAAATAGGAGCATTAATGATCAAAACCCTTCTTCTTCGGTAACGGGATTATCTGACAATGAAATTTGATTAGAATGTCACAAATTATATGAGAATAAATACTAAATTTTCCCACAAAAAAAAAGAAGAGAAATACGACAGTGAAAATCTAACAATTTTGCTGTCCAGTACATGTTCATCATCGCTGGCCACTTTTTCACCAGAAATTGCAGGTAATATTCGAGTTTCGTTTTTTGTATTTTATTATTATTTTGTTCTTATTTTTTAGTTTTTTTGTGCAAAACTGTGTAATTTTGCTTCTGAAAAAAAAACCAAATCATAAAACCCTATTTTCGTAGATGAAAGTAAGAAATTGTAGTTCTGTAATTAATGAATGAGTAATTATAAAAGTGAAATTATCTGCAGATGAAAAATGTAAACACTTTCAAGCATAAATTTTTTTTTGAAAGTAACTATTTAAGATTCAAAGTATTCCATTTCATTTTTCTATTTGTAGTAACCGTTGTGAATATCATCTTCTGTTTTGTGGTTATTATTGTGTAGATTTTATTATTTTTTTTCAAATATCTGATTTTTCTGTTTATAAACCAAAAACATAATTATAAAACCCTAATTTCAAAGAAGAAACTAAATAAATCGACGTCTTTTATATTGAATGAGTAATTCAAAAGTTGAAATTATTTGAATACAAATTATAAATAGATTCAAAAAAAATTTAATGGTTATAACTGTGTTGGATAACTATTTTGAGATTTTAAGTATTCTATTTTTATAACTGTTATTGGTACTGTATTGAGTATCTGTGTTAAGTATCTATTACTTAATGGTTGTAACTGTGATGAGTATCTGTTAAGTTGAATTATACGTTAAATGTAAATAGTCATGGTATGTAATTTTATGATGTAACTGTTTTTGTGTAACTATTTGATGTAACTATTTTGATTATAGTTTATAGTATGGGTTAACTAGAATTTTCATGATGTGTACATGCAATAAACTGAAGTGCAACCGGACATCCCATCCGATGATGATTTTCACACATCACAAATGAAGGATACAAGCAACACTATTCCCTTCATTCCTGATTAAGACATTAAAAAAATGAATGATATTGTATCAATTCAAAAGGAAAAGAAAAACAGTTATATAAAATAGCATAAAAAAATATTTATACAAATGACTGAATTAATTAATCACATAATATGAGAAAAACATACTACAAAAAAATAGTTATACTATTCAGGATCTACCAAATAAGTATTGGCTGAAAACTTGCATACAAGGACAGTTACACTAAAACGCTACTTTGATTTTTTTTAACACAGTTACACAAAGCAAAAATCAAAAGAAACATGACAGAAAAACATTTAAAAAACATAAAACAAAATAATTACACAAAAAAAAGCACTTAGAAAACATAAAAACAAAATAAGTATGCACAAACAAACACTAATATAAGTTTCTACGCATACAAAAATACAGTATCAACCAAAAAAAAACATACATTACTGTCTATGGGAAAAATAGTTACACTCATTAAAAAACAGTTACACCCATTAAAAAATCAAAACAATTTTTTTCCCCACATCCCAACAACGAACAATATAAAACAAAATCAAAATTACGATTTTCCAATAAAAATGGCCGAATAAAAGAAAAAACTTAATTATTAAAAACTTACCTTCAAGCCGATGATGGTAATCGATATTTACAATTCTTTTTTTCAAAAAAATCCTCTATTGATTAAGAAAAATAGACTTTAGAAACAAACCAAAATAAACCAAGAAGATACCGCAACCAGAGAAGTGAATCGTCAAGTCGTACATTGAACAAAATCGCAATAAGGCCAACCATTCAAGAACACTTTTACTATAGAGACATACCACAAAAATTGCAATTCAAAATTAAAAAATGAATGATAATATCTACTATAATCTTTATATATTTATTTCCTCAAATAACTGTCAATGATGACTACATAATTTAAGAAAGGGTGTTTAGGTAAAAAGAAATCTACTTCATTTAAATTTTGTACGTAAACACAAAAAAATTTATTAAACTTATATTTAATAAAGTAAACAACTTATCCATATATTTTTTCTTAAATAACTCTAAAAAAATTATACCCATGCCAAAAAAAACCCTTTATTTTTTTGTATAAATTTATCCTTGTGGACTAAAAAAACAAAAATTTGTTTGTTCTTGTTGACCCAAAAAGTACAGGCGGTGGACCCCGTCCCTTTTCCCTATTATTTACTTATTATAATTTCAGGCCCATAGTCATCCCTACTGAGAAAATAGAATATTATACTCGAACAACGACTGGCGACTGCATCTTATGCCTGGGCTTGCACTCACTGGCTTAGAAAGAAAAAATACTGAGGCTTTAACAATACCACAAGCAAAAGAATAGTAAAGAAAAACAACACCTAAGGAATCATAGAAAAAGACACTGTACATGAATGAGAGCAAGACAACCATTTCATTAATCTAAAAATTAAGCCATCAATTTTGAAGCAGTTGTGCCACAGTACCAGAAAAACTGTAATTTAGATGGTGGTGGGAAGCTTAATTTAGATGCAGAAGAAAATGGTCATGCACTGATGCAAGCCTAATATACTCAAAAACCATAAGACAACCGTTAAATTGATCTGGAAATAAAAAAAAAAAGCGATCAATTTCAAAACACTAGTACTATTGCATCAGAAAAAGTTTAATCTTAGGCGGTACAACAAATGGCGCATGACATGGAAGCCTAATACACATGCACGGGTACTAGATAGAAAAGACAGAGGAACAAGTAAAACACTTGATCTCAAGGGTTGTTCGTGGCCGGGGTTTCCAACATTTCAATTCAGTTCTTTTGAGCAACTGAAAGGGTTGATCTCTGTCAAAAATATGCTACTCTTCTTTTTCTCGGGCTGACGAAGAATCCTCGGCTTCATTTGGTCTGGATTGTCTCACACTAGCCTGGGCATCGGCAAGAAATTTAGGATCTGGCTCATGCTTATCTGAAGGTTCTTTCATTGCCATTAATATGTAAAATGCAATAACCAAATTGACTGATATCACAGCAAGGAACCCACTCAACAGTGTCATATCATAAGAGGACAAATGTGAGGAACCTGTTCCAAATGAATGATGACTCAATTGGAGCAGCAACAGCAATACAAATAATATAGTCAAAAAACTGAATACTCCAAAGCCTAGACCAGAAAAATGAACACAGAAGTTGATCACTGCTACAAAACATTGTTTGACTATGAAGATAAAGACTTTCGGACCGAAACAATACAAAATAACAGATGATGAAATCAAATTGACAGCACCTTTAGGAGGGTATGTTTGGATTTTGAAACCAGGGCTTGCAGTAGGCAATATAATACAGTTCTAATGGATTATGAGACAAGAAATTTGCTTTAACACCATCCACACAATAAACAGACTACATACACGTATGTATGTACTCATAGCCAATTTGGCAAGACTTGTTGATCCATCTCAGTCATTGCACAAGAAACATTAACTACAATGTTATTGTTACATGATCTGTTCTCGGTCCCAACTGGAGATGCACTGCAGCCCACTCACTCGGTAATACAACACAGAACTATGTTCTAAACGATCATTAATCATTGCTATGGGCTAGCTTGTAAATATATGTTCCTAGTATTGATACATAAATAAATAAGCATCAGCCATGTATCCGTAAGTATCCAAAGAGTATTAGCATCAACAAGCATGTGATCTATCCATAAAAGGATAAAGGATCCATGCTTTTTTACATCTCACAAAACATTCTGTTACTTAAGCAAACCAACAGGGGGAAAAAAAAAGACCTAAACTTGCTCAATTTCTTGCATTCTGCATAAATAGTAAAACCTATAACTATAAATAAATAGTTGTCAACAAAGCTCTCAATATATCCGTTCCTTACTTCTTTATCTGCCTACTAAATTTTCAATCAACAAGATAAGCTAATTCTTTTTGTAACTATTGGAGGACTCCTTGTACTCTCCTGTACTCTACTTCTGTGTCATTTTTATAACAGGGTTAATAAACAAAACCTCCTTGTACTTGGGGTGAGTTGTAAATTAGCTCCTTATACTTTGAACTTTTGCACTAAACCTCACTCAACTTATAACCAAAATGCAAAAAGAAGAGTCAGTAACAGAATTATTGAAATACCAAAATGCCCTCATTATTACCTTTAATTTTCACTCTCATGCCCTCTCTCTACCTCTCCCATCTGCCACCCACAATCACCACGCGTATTACCATTCCTAACACTTACACACATATCTGTCCAAAACAGAATCACAGCCGCATATACAAATAGGGAAGTAGAGAAAAGGAGAGGAAGAATGGTAGTCTAAACCAACCATTATCATCCCCTCACTCATCCTACCTAGCACCGAATGTCCTTTCTTATCTTATCTTCTTCACCTTTAAACCTAATCAGAAAATTTTAGGAAATTATAAAACAGACCAAAAGCTCGGCAATTGAGGCTGCTCTCTCTAAATAACAAACCAAAACCATAATATGCTCCAATATCTCTCTCTCTCTCTCTCTCTGTGTAACACCCCATCATTATTTCCCAATATTTTCCATTGTCATCATACTCATGAACAGACAACTAATTCTAATTTTTGTTTCTGTTTCTCTCACCCATGAGGGAGGGGAAGCCTCCCCCTGTCTTCTTTCCATAACTTCTGTCTATATTATCTCTCTCGTGAATGACTCATCTCTATTTTTGTCCCCATGTTCCACGTACAATCCACTGTGTATCGTCTGTGACTAGCACAAAACCCGATTGACTGCCACCTCTTATTTCTTTTTTTAATTGTTTACATCTATGTGCGTCACACAACATTGTCTGGCTTATTATGCAGTAACATTGAAAACCTATCAACAAAATCCCAACTCCTGCACGTCATTCACATTGATTGTTCGTAGTGCTACACTTGTCTACCCATGACTTGTCTTGCTCCTAAATTTAATGTCATTTACATATTAATCACAATTAGCTTCCATTTTCATTTGTCAGGCTTCTTCAGAACAGAAAGTCCCTCTCTCTCTCTCTCTCTCTCTCTCTTAGTATGTTCTTTGTTGGTAGCGAGAACCTGAATGTGATAGAATGGAGCTGATGTTAAAGTTTCTGACTGTCCAGCCAATCGCTACTTTTATACTAGGTCCAAAATTACAGGGTTTGTGTATGTAGGTGGAGTTTATGAGGGGCAATATATTCCTTTTGCCTATAATTTAGGCGAGTAATTCTCCCATCAGATTAGAAACGCGTCTAATAAGCCATGCACTGTTAAAACGGACAGATATCGTTACTTTTGCACTTTGATTTCAAGTTGGAGGTTTAGTGCAAAAATTTAGAGTATAAGGAGAAATCTACAACTAACCCCAAGTACAAGGAGGTTTTTTTTTTTTCATAGGAAACAAAGATATTATTAATAAAACAAATGGATACAGTACAAAATGGAGAGCAGAGTTGGACAAGATGTCCAACTGCATAGCATTACACCAAAAAGGTGTTCCATGAAGATCAAAAACACATTAAGAAAAATGACATCCGCACACAGCAGTCCAACTTGCCATGATTCCAAAATGTGGCATATTTGAAACTCCTTAAGAGACTGAAGCCCAAAAGGAAGCTAAGAAAAATATGAGATTCCATACCCTTCATTCACCTCACACTTACCTCAAAGATTCTTACATTTCTCTCCGACCATACCACCCAGAAACATTCCACAATTTCAAAGAGTAAATTCACTACTCTTCCATCCAAACTCATTATAGTCTACACACAACATTGTTGAAATGGAACATGGAGCCAACCAAGAATGCCCTACCATCTAAAATAACTTATTCCGTATGTGCCGAGCAACTGGAAAATGCAAGAATAGATGATCCACACTCTCGCAATCATTCTTACACATAACACACGAAAGGGAGAAGACATTTACTAGGTCTTCTCTTTTGGAGAATATCATTGGTATTAGTCCAAGGAGATTTTTTGTAATTAACCTTTTATAATATAATTTCATTTTGTTATCAAAGAACAACATAAGCTAAGTTCATTTACTTCAGAAAAATTAGTCTCTCAGATCAACCACACATGCATTTGGCGGGATGGAGAACCTCACGTGATTCGTGTTTATTGCATTTTGTTTCTTTATTTTTTTTTTAACTTCTTTAGAAAATAGGTTGGACTGCTGGTCGACCCTACTCTATCCTGACGTAACATTTCCAAATCAATAGGATCATTTTATTTCCTATCAAAAAAGACCCACCAAATCTACTCTTGTTTCGATGTTGAGCATCTCTTCCACAAAACAAATAAAAGATAGTCAACTATAAAAGCAACCATCGCATGATTTAATATAGGTACTAAAATACTAAGATATGGCATGAACAACCCTTTTTCGGTCGTTTTAGCCATTTTTATACCATTCCTATGAGAAAAAATTAAGCACGTCACACTTTTTCTCTTTCTTGAAATTGAGATATGTGAGCAAAGTAAAGACTTTAACTAGAACTAGTAGGACTGAGACTCAAGTGTGACCTGTAAATGCCCACAGAAAACTAAGAGTCAAGATGCTTGACAAATCCACTAAAGTGCCCATTTATGGCATAGGGAAACATTGAGTTAGTATGCCCATAGAAGTAGGGCGCGTGGGTAAGTGGAGGATGCCTCTGAGAGTGTTTTGGTTTTCATATACTCATCAGCTAAAGCAGAAAAGAGCTGTAAAACCAGCCATGCTTCATAACGTAAAACATTCATCAGTTGTAAAGGGGGGAAAAGGGGGGAATAAACCTATGCTCATAAGAAACCATAGCCACTTGTGGTTATCTATGAAAAAAATAAATACATAAATAAAGCTTACCCGGAAACAAGTTATGGTTAAAACCATATAAAATTGCAATTGGAGCTACCCACATGAACATTGATGCAATAAAGAACTTCTTTATTACTTCAGCCATTGTTTACCACCAACCTACAAAGAAGCAAACGAACAAAACAAATGAAAGCCTTGCTTTCATAGATGACATTCATGCATAAAAAAAATCAAGTAAAGCAGAAGCAAAAACACATCACCAACTCCAACCCATTTTGACATTGTATTTGATTCAACTTTCAAATACATTAATCTTACAAAAATCAAACAACTTGAAAGGAGGATACAAAACTGTACAGGTAACTGCTGCTTCCAACAGTGAAATAGCCATGGCAATATGCCCTTTTATTTAAGCCATTGAAGAAATTTCATTTAGGTCCAAGGTTTTTCAAAAATTGTACTAGCACCAAAGAATACAAATAAAAAGTCACATTATGTGCAAGTATGCACACGTACATTTGCATTTACACGTAGAAGAACTCATCTTATCTATTAGTACTTGATTAGAAATGACAGTTAGTATTTTGGTGCATAGTTTCGATTAGATCATAAACGAAAACTTTATAGAAAGGTTTTAGCAACATAATGGGATAGAAACACAGAAGAAAAACAGAATTTTGATCTCCAAACATGAGAATTTTGGTAATCAATCACTAATTCATTTCGAAACTGAAATGTTTCAGGCTTTTCAGTAGAAATGAAACAATACTTTGAGCATTGGTTAAAACCAAACGCACCTTTGTTGTTTTGATTTTTGCTTCTTACCATATTTTACCAATCTTTCAGTCATGCACTGACAAGAACACTTGAGTTGAAGAAGGCGTATGCCCTCAAAAAGCTGGAAGGTTTTCTTCTGTCTTCCTTAACTGTACATAAAATCTTACACACTGCATCTCCCATATCTTCTTTATTTTGCATTTTTATTGGTTTTAACAGGGTAACTGGAGATGCTTCTTCTTTCAATGTCAAATTTGGACCACCTAAAGATGAGAATAGTGCATCCACTGCCCGATGCTGGTCTCATTGTGCAATTTTTGCAACATCTAGCACACCAAAGTTTACTATACTAGGAACAGAAGCTTGCACCCCTGCTCCACCGAAGTTTTCTCGAAAGGGTGAACTGCAATAAAATGATTCCAGAAGCAGCAGACAGCCAAAAAGATAGCTAGGAGCCTGAACTTGAGACAGCTGAGCCACTTCATTCTGTGAGAGTCAAGAGTTCTGCTCAGCTTGGGAAAGGGATTTCTAAAATTGCCAATTCTAAGGCTCGTCCACTAAAAAAAAAGTCCTCGATTCTTTAAGTTTATTTACGGATCTCTTTCTTAATACATGGTTTATATAGCTCTTGATAAAGCACAATGGTGGACAATGATTCATGCAGCCAACCAAACATAGTTGGAACAAGGCTTTGTTGAGTCGAGTTGAGTTGTATGTTACATTAGGCTTGTCTTTTTTTCGTATTTTTGTTTCAATTCTAAAAGCTCCAACATCACCAGCAATACCAAGTACACCCCAGCTATCAGAATTTCATTTAAACCATGATTTGGATGGAAATAGCCATAAAGAAGAATTATTTGCCAAAAAAATATGATAAAAAAGAATGGCAATATCTTTTGAAGGATCACACAAAAAATTGGCAATTTTCAGAATTTGATTTAGAAACGGTGCAAACGATCAAGTAGAATGCAGAAACATCTACGATAGACTCAACAGATTCTACTTCACATCAGCTAGGTGCAAAAGGACCAATACTGGTATTTAAATGTGTTCATTGTTCCTTACTGATGTAGTTAATTTATTGATGTATAAGTTGATTGTGTTGAAGCACAATTGAGCATTACATAGAATGGTAACCAATGAAAAAAATCCACAATCACTCTGCAAAAAGTCAACCAAAATGTAATTCCATAAAATGAAGTGAAGAAACCCAGGAAAAGAAATCGAATGCTGGGTCAGACACAATTAAGCAAACAATCCTTTAAAACAGACCACGATTACAAATAAAATTGAAATACAGCGATCTATAGTAGGAAGGATATAGCAAAAGCCCAGGAAAACAAAACAAGATGCTATTAATCAAAAGAACAGAGAAAAAGCTCGTTAACAAGGACTTTATGAATCTAGTGAGAATAAGTGGAGTGAGTGCAAAATGTGACGTTAAATGGATCCGAGCCAAAACGGGTTTTTTTTTTTTGAGTCTTTTTTGAGTTTGAAGTGGATTTTTCTATTGATTTGAGGGCCATTAGGAGTGCGGTGCGTAGGTTCAAACTCAAAAATTCCAGTGTTCGTCGATTTTCCGATCATTTGAGCTAGAAGAAACAAATTGGGTCATGTCCATTAATACCCAAAATTTTCCATGTAAGTGATTGATATGATTATTTTTTCCATCAGTTTTCTGGAAAAGTTGTCACTTGAAAATTGGTTGGGCACTTTGGCTTGATGAATCAATCTGATCTGATCTTCGCCACTGCTTTCG